ACATTAAACTGGAAAATATCTTTTTATTATCACCTTTGACCCCAAAAGCTTCTCTTCACACTTCAAGCTCACAGATTATCTGAAGAAGTCGCAACATGACATAAATAACACTTCAGTGTGAACTCACCTTTTTTCTTAGCTTTCTGTTTGTTCTCCTTCTTTTTGGGCTTCTCTGATAAAGCAGCCTGAGGAAACCAGAACAGTAACACAGAAGATCATTTACAATGTGTTTAAAGTTATTCAGCTTCATCAGTTTATCCTCCCAGTGATGGATGTGAACTACCAGAGATTTATTTATTTTTATTCATCCGATGGTTCATTAAGTGGTCCCCTTGGTTTATTAGTTTGCTTATTGTACTGGCTGAATGTATTGATCTGTTCACTTGTTATTTAATTAGTTTTCTCACTTCATTCATTTGTTCCCTTATATTCTACTAAGTATTTGAATAACAGTTGATTAATCAAGGAACTTTAAAGCCTACAGTCTGGAAATCGCAGCTACCTTGGTAGTTTTGGTGGCTTGAGTTGATTTCAGGGATGAAACTTTGTTCTCTGTCTTCTTCTTTTTGGGCATCACTGATCCAGCTGATTTAGTCTGAGGAAACCAGAAGCACAAAATGAGAACAGAAGATCATTTACACTTTAATTAAACACAGGATTATTTTGATGTACTGCAGGAGCCATGTGGTACAAAGAACCTGTGTTAAATAACATCTTAATAAACTGCTGGTTTGATTAAGCTTAATTAATTTAATTCTGACACTGATGGATGTAAACTATGATATAAAGTAAATACTTTGTCAGGTTGTTCTCATTATGGCGCCTTACCTTGTCCACCTTCCTTTTCCTTGAACTTGAGGAGACAGACTCTGAAGATAAAAATATGGAGAAACAGATCAGTCAGTTTATAAATGGACCTGTGATATTAGTCAGACCCAGTCAGACTGACTGAGGTAATTTTGAGGTGTAAATGTGTCGAAGGACAAACACTGTTGCTTTCAAAATGTTTCATCCTTAGTATATCAGTGTGTATCTATCTCTCTCTCTCTCTCTCTCTCTCTCTCTCTCTCTCTCTCTCTC